CACGCTATAAATCACAGTGATTCACACACTTTACTTACGGCGCCTACTGTTTGTGACTCAGTTATCTCTATCTTCAATCTATCTGCATATGACGCTTATTCTTCTCGCCAGGCCTATATACTAAAAACAGAGAGGGTGCCTCGAACAATTTAGAGTTGCCAGAAAAATTCATGATCCTTCTAGAAACTCCAGCGCTCATGCTGCCAGAGCCGCGTGACTTCTGCTGTCGTAACAGTATTAACAATCAGTACCTGATGATGACAGAACCTTGTCGAAACGTTGTACATTTGCTGTTATGTTAAACTTATATTAAAGTTTTTCTTCATTACCCATTTAAGCCGTCTCCAGCCATTATTAATCAATAATAATCAAACACAGCTCCAGCAAGCGATTACAATAAAAACCTGACCAAGGGATCTCTGCGTAATATTGGTTCGTAAATAGATTATAAGACATTGTTTAGATTAAAAACGGGTTATATTTGAAAATTTTATGGATTAATGTTGCATAACACATTACAAATAAACGTATACTTACTTGTATTTTCATCATATGATTCCTTGACCAAATGTCAGTCTTTGCGGTACAACGTTAAATACTTTTGTTGTATTTTCAAATTGAAAAATATATACATACAAGCTCTTTGTTTACTTATATAACTATCAAAGCAGTTTGTTCGTACTTTCATCCAGGATACTTCAAGAAAAACTACAATGACAGAGTTAAAATGAGGCTTGATATCATCGCGTTTCAGGCGTGATTCACACGTAACTTTGTGACGTCAAGTGAACCAAGTGACAATACTGGTAGTAAAGGGACAGATGTTGTAAAATAACAAGAAAAGACAATAGTTTATGGTTGTGAGTGTGTGTTTGTGTACTTGTACTCTTGCGGTTCCACTTACAGGCACACTCCTACTGGTGCAGTTTTTCACAAGCTATTTACTGTGTCTCAGATTTAATTCCCGTAACTATACAACGAAGCCACGGAAAGAGAATGTTCGCAATTACTAATTATCAACCACGAGTAGTTGAAAAACGCTGTCATCCTATTTGTTCTTTCTTATTAATTTTTCTATCTCTTATCCTACGTTATAGAAGCCATTATGAAACCTCAATATTAAATATGTAATACTAATAAGTTGGGGCTTAATTTTTATTTAAGTGGAAATCGTTCATAAAATAAAAGGAAATATAAACTGTCGAACTTTCATGCCTATTCTGTTATGAAATTTAGTCAACTGGCGACCAACATTTCACTTTGAGTAGGTTTTGACCGTCGTAGTTTTTTTTTTTTTAATGTTCAAATATTTAATGGCATATAAAAGTGGAGAAAATACAAAATCATACCGGAAAGCTAGAGCCTCAACACATTTTTCGCGATGCAATGGGGAAGTTGTTTCAAACTACTCGGAACGACACATATATATAAGTTTATATAAGGGTAGCACGTTTAGCGAGTAACATAACCGACCAGGTTGAGCAAGATCTGAAGCTACTTAACCTGTCATATATCTTAATATTTACAACACGGTAGGTATGAGCCGTTTGTAATATTCTGTAAAATGTTAACAAAACTAATAAGACTGAAAAAACTTTAACAATAGGAACATCTTAAGATGTTCTTCGAACCCCACCTCAATGCTCTAGAGGTTTATTTTGAGCTTTTCTTCCATTTGTCTGCCTCATTTTTCTTTTCAGTCCAAAGTTGCACATTAGGTTGTCTGCGCGGTGTTGCCATAGTGATCGAGCCAAGATTTCTTGCAATATAAACCTTCAAGATTACTACTGAGCCACTGGAGTCATTTCTATTTGAGAATTTATCCAAAATTATTAGATGTATTGTGCTTTCCAGAAATCCAAATCACTTATAGAGGAGAGAAGAGATGTAACTGTATTGTCTGTGTTACGTATTAGAATTTCGAATAGTCCGAAGCCGAGTTAACTGATAATCTAAATTCAGTAGTTAAATTGTACTTTGGATTTAGTAGTTAAATGAAATACCGATATATAGTCAAATTACGATATTTGCCAACAAGATTGATACACACCGTCTTTGTTTTTAACACAAATACGTTTTAATATACACACAGCCATACAATTTACAATAACAGTTTTTATAAATAGTTATTACACACAATGATTTATAGACAAAAGTTTCACAAACTTACAAGCAATATAAAGTATTCTTTCTAGTTTGGAGCTTCCTTGATATTTTATCGAGGGTTCACGATAAGCGAGTTGAATACGAGTTGACGGAGATATATTTCACTTAACGGGAAGCTAGGTAGCTTTGTCTCTCACTGATCACACACCGATTCTTCCACCTGTGACGTTAGGTAATGTTTTCATAAAAATACTAATGTCCAATAAGAATCCACTGAAGTTAAACGATTTGTAATGTTCGAAATGTATAAATATTCCTGGTCAAATATCTTAAATTTTCCGATTTATACGCGTTATAAAAATCACGCTTATAGCTTTCCAAGTTTATAGCACACTGATTATATCGAACTACTAACAAACACTCCCCTTTTGGCGCGTCACGTTGGTTATACTTATAGGCGTGGGAAGGTTTTCTAGAAAATTCAAATTACATAACAATACTGAGCTATATTTATACGTTTACGTATATAGATATATTGTTGATTCCTACTCTCGAGAATCATCTACAACAATACAATACATCTCTAACACTATAAGCTAGGCATATTTTTAAATATAAACTCAATCCAAACAAACTTTAACATTAAAATAAATATATAACAACAGATTCGTTACATCTGAAAGAAGGATGTTATTACTAAATGTATTTTACGTTCGTAGTTAAAATATGTTAAAAAGGCTCTGTAGAATTTTCAACCAAAACAATAAATTTAGATTGAAATATAGCGATAATTTTAACAATTTCCCTTTAAAATGGCTTTAAATGCAAAATATGACTTCCAAATTCTTTAGAAAAGTTTTTATATCAAATTCGTGTGAAAAAGTCTGCTGGTAAACAAAGACCATCAAAATAAGTTAGCACTTTGCAATGTACTCACAAACACACACACACACACAAAATGTATGGAAGATCAATAAAAGGTTATTCTAATTATACTGAAAACAACATTGCAAAATAAATTCACTAATAACGTATTTATATTGTACAAATCATTATGCTGTAGTTTTAAAAAAAATTAAGTATATATAGCTACACTGGCTATTTGAAGACAAAATACACAAAGCATTTTAGATAGTTTCAATCTAAGTACTGGCATTCCATACTCGGAAATACTGTATTATTATGAACTGTAACTATTACAACATTGTTGTGAGAAATATCAATAATTAAGTTTCTGATTATTTTGCTAAATTTAACCCTTTCTGCAATTGGGGAGAAAAACCTCTCATAATATAAGTAATCTAAAAAATAGCTTAACTAAATTGATAGTACAGGACAATGTTTAAGCACAATAATAGTTGTCATTGGCAGTTCCTTGATAATCGAAGATGACATAGACAAGGGAGGAAGAAACCATCAATGCTTGGATTGTCTACTTCCAGTGTCTGTGTGATTGGAGTCCAAGACTGCTGGAAAATCTATTTTCACAAATGTTGCATTGTAATTTGCGAGGAACTGTAGACAAGGGGTGTCTCCGAGCACGACGATTCTGTGAAACCTACACCCACTTTTGGTGTGCAACCTCTGAACCATCCTTGATGGATTTGCGCCATTTGACGTGATTGTTGGCTAAGAACTCCCAAATGGTAGTAGGTACGTCATCTGTGATCAGGTGATGCTTTATTACATTTTTGGAAAGCAGCATAAGTCCACTTCTCCGCCACTGGCTGGAGGAAAGTTCTCCATAAAGTAGAGTCTTTGGAAGTCTATGTTTGGCATACGCACAACATGATCAGCCCAGCACAGTTATCTTTTAAGAAGCATAGCTCCTACTCTGGGCATATTGGCACACTTGAAGACCTCCTCGTTAGTGATTCGGTCTTCCAAGATATATTCAGCATCTCTCTGTGATGTCTGAGTTGTACACTGGACAATCTCTTTATATGACAACGATAGTGTATAAGTCTCTGTTGAATATAGTTGGGAGCTCGGTACCATGGCTTGATATACCCTCTCATATAATCGCCCGAAAGAGGCAGATGCCACTTGGATCCTGTGGTCGAGCTTTGAATCGAGGTTGTTGCCATTAGCAAGGTAAGCAAACTGGTTAACGACATTTAGCTTGTCGCCAGAGAGAATAACAGCTGGCTCTACATTGTGAGAGTTAGGTGATTGATGATGGAGGACTTCAGTCTTTTTGATGTTAATTGTTAGCCTGTTGAGCAGATGTAAATTCCCTCGACAAAATTAGCTATAAACAGAGTTAATAATGCGGTAGTCAACATGCAACCTTGTTTGACACCATGCACTATAGGGAAGGCTTCCAATGTAGCACCCCATGTGATACCTGTCGGTTCTTGCCATCGTGAAGTTGACAAACAATTGCAACAAGCTTCTGTGTACAGCCAACTTTAGCAAGCATTTCACACAGCACTTCTCTCCCTACAAAAAGATTTGGTGAAATCGATAAACACAGCATACATCGCCATGTTTTGTTTCATATTTTTTTCTGAATTTGTCACAAGAGACTTTCATATCGGTTACTTTTGTGTGCTCGAAAACTGCATTGGCTTTCTTTTAATATATGTTCGGAGATTGTTTGTAGTCGTTGAAGTAGTATTATGGACAGAATTTTTTCTATGACTGATGGGAGCAAAATTCTTCAGTAATTTCCACAATCTTGTTGACCCCCTTTACGTTTGTAAATTGTGACAATTAGGGCATCCTTGAATTCCTGAGGTAGTTCTCCAACCTGTCAACATCTTTCAAAAAGGTACAACAATTCTAGTTTTAATACTAGTCCTCCACTTTTGAAAATTTCACCAGGTAGACCATCCAAGCCCGGTGCTTTTCTATATTTAATCATTTTCATTGCCTTCACAACTTCTTCCAGATTTGGTGGGTCGTTAAGCATTTAAGCATTGCATCGATTGTTAATTGTGTCACCTGATCCAAGACTGTGTCATGAATCACTGAGGCCTTACTCATAGTGTACTTTCCATCTCTGCAAGATATCAACCTTGTTTTTAAACAGTTGGGAACCATAAATAGTCTTGTGTAGAACAGCTGCTTCGCACTTGATCTAAAAGCATTCTGACATTTCAAGTTGTAAGTTTGAATTTCCTTTTTTCATATGCTTTACTCGACCAGAAAATTTGAGGCCTGCTGAGTGTGGTAGCCCAGCCAGCTTGTGTTGAGTGGACTATGTTTACCCTTCCTTTTATCGGGGCATCCCTTTCCAGGGCAAGCAGAGGCATGCCTTAACAGGGCTGCCCGGTTGCTTGAACAGGACCTTGGATTTTTACCACTCTGTCGTAAATCCACAGCCATCACACTCAAACTGCTTATGTGCAGATGACCAACTAATGACTCCCAGCTTGGTTTGGGGGATTCTGAGGTGGCCCATGGTGCTACCCAAGGCTACAGAAAGGACAGTAGAGCCTCACAATCCCTCCACAGGCTACTAGCAGCAGCTAGGTTCTGTGTCATACCCAAAAAATAGGCCCGGCATGGCCAGGTGGTTAGGGCTCTCGACTCGCAAT